TCTATCCCGCACTCAATGAGACGAGACGCAAGTTCTATCTTTAGGTGGGGAGAAGCTGTGTGTATTATTAGGAACAGACTTCCGATTGTTAATGATAGAAGCCAAACATCTCTCGAGTGCAAACTGCATTCCACATATTTGACAGAAACTATAAACTAAAAGTTACAAGAGACCAGCCCACCCGCACTTCAGTATTGCTGCACTTACAGACCCAAGTCAGACCCAAACAATGCACATGACCCTCTGTGACGAACCAGATGCTGAGTTCGGATGGTATCTCGTTTAGACTCTCTTAGGTTTTTAGGTCTCCAATCAAACCATATATAAATAATGATACCTATTATCTCCTCTCTAATAACTGTGTGCTTTATTATTGTTTCAAATCTTTCGCTAATGGTAACTAATTATATGATATATAAACACTTCTTGTTGCTGGTCTGCGAGCTGCTAGTACTTCTTACTTATATTTGGTGTCAGCAATTTCAGGTAAACATGGTGCCAAAGTAAGGGAATATTCTGATTTCATCAGAACTACATGTTAAATTGTACGTATTACCATTTTGCTGACTATTCAAATGATCACATGGCGATATACTGTAATTAACCACTTCAGATCTAATTTATCATTTATCCTTGAAACTCGCGGAGGGAAGCAGCTTGGTTTTATTCATATACAGGGCAACACTGAGGCATAAAGATGTTTCCAATACCCCTTGTAAAATATGTGGCTAAGCCAGGACCCAAAATTAGGCACTCCAACTTGAGAGCCAATAAACTACCTGTATTTTATTAGCCATTATCGCTAATCATTAAACTGTATATGCTTTTAAGTGTTTTTTTACTATCAGATTTAATTTTATAATCATATTGATAAGAATCGTTTGGACTTAATTCTCCGCGTAGCTAAGTAATGAAGTAAACGCTTAATTTCAGTGTCACGCCATTCCCTTTACTCCATGAGAGCTCCAATCAAGGGACAGCCCTTCATTTTAGCTAATCAGTCATTAACTTCATTCAACCCAACTCCATTAATAATATAATTAGTGAAAAATTCCTCCAAGATTTTAAGTTGCTTGATACTTTTAATATTTGTAGTTTTTTAAAACAATGTTATTATTGGAAATTTGCTTCAGTTGATAACATTCACATGGTCAAAAACTTAAAATAATTCACACACATCCTCATTTAGAGCCACAATTCTTAATTTCTTCTTTTTTATGTGTTCTACTATATTTTCTTACTATAAACATAAGAAGTACTATAATCTTATATTCTTTTTTATACAAAAATAGCACCCAATACATAGCCATCTATATATTTGTTTTTAGTTATTTAAGAATATAGTTGTGATCTCAGTATATAGAACATTCTCTCACTGGTTTTGTTTTACAACTGCATAGTATACTTGATGAATGAACCATTACTTAACAAATCCCATATTATTAGAAATTTAAGATTTCTCTTAACCTTTACAATTATAAACAAAATAATGAGTAACTAAATAGCCATCATTTTATATGTGTATAAGTGATGAATTGCTGGGTTAAAAAGCATGTGTGTTTTTAATTTTGATGGGAAGACACTGATTAAAATGGATGCACCACACTCCACATGGCCTTACACTGATCTGTGCTCCACTGAGCAATGTATGTGAATGCCTGCTCCTCCCACAGCCTTACTAACAAAGATGACCACTGGAGTTTGAGAATTCTGTTAATCTGTGAAAGAAGTGTTACTGCAGTTTGAGACAGTTCTCTTATTTCAAGCAGGAGTAGCTCTTCAGTGGTATCACACAGATAAATTTTTGAGTTGTTTTCTAAAATCCTGCAATTTCAGGGTGCCCTTTTCATTTTCAGTTTTCTAAAAATTCTGCATTTCAGCGGAAGTTGCTTACTACATTTTAAACTTTAGGCAGAAGAACTTTTGGGTTCTGATTGTTCCTATTGTCTAATTTTATTGCATGTTAAGAGGAGACTCTTGTTTGTTTTGTTTCTAAATTTTTGGAATTTTTCTTTAATGTCTACTACACTGCATCAAATTTTCATGAATGCCCCCACAGGCACTTGAAGTTATATTCTTTATTAACATGGCACAGAATTGACTATGTTAATCAAATTTACCTTATTATTTTGATTACTTTCCTCACTGACTTTTTATGAACTGAGATGGGTGAGTTGTTTTAATGTTTTAAACTATTAGTGACTGTCTATTTATCCTGTAATTTGTCTCATAAAAGTTTCACCCTTTCTAACACTATGAAGTATACTTAATATTGTTTATTGCTTTGTGGCCTTAATTCGAATTTCCAATATTGAGGTCATGGTTCCTATTTTTCTTTATTTATATTTATGTGACATGTCTTTACTCATCTTTTTATTTTCAGTCTTTCTAAATCACTTTTTTTTTTCTTACCAGATCTCTTGCATAAAGAACTGGGTTTTACTGTGATCAATTGTGATTTCTTTTCTTATAATAGATGATTTACAAAACGTTTTACATGTATTTTTATGCTAGATATGTTAGATATGTCATACTTTGTTATGTTTCCTGATGTTTTAGGTTTTTTAAAACTTCCATTACATGTATTAGTTTTATTTGTATAGTTTTTTAATATTTTGAAAGCATTATAAATATTTGAACAGCGTAGTTTATAATTACAAAGGGGTAAGAAGTCCTCTGTTCAAAACTAATAAAAATCAATGCACAAAAAAAAAAAAAGAAGTCCTCTGTCTGTTTAGGAAGTCTATTTGCCTGCTGTGAACAATGATAAAACTAGCATAATTATCATAATTTTTCCTCTCTCTTATACCATCAAATTTTAGTCACCAGAACTACAATTCCAATTATTTCATTTGTCATTTTACATGGATATCTTCCGATTCATTGGACTGACTTACACTTTACTTTCCATCTTACTAAGTTCATTGTAATTGTAGAGTTTCTACATTATTAGGGAATGTAACAAGAAAATTCTGGTCTGTTACTCTAATTCAAACATTTGTTTTAGTCTTAGTTTTACCATTCAGCTAACTCAGTTCTCACCAGTGGTCCTTGCCTGTAATCTGAGTTTTCCTAATTGGTTAAACTTTGTCCCACAGCAATTTTCTCAAGATTATTAAGAAAAAGAAATCTTTGCATGATCAAATTTGTGTGGAAGCACCCTTTTTACTTAAAGGATGGTATGGCTTCCATTTTCTTTGCTTCACTATCTTATGTTTTATGTTTTTTTGCTGTATGTTTTCTATATTGAACTTTATTATAGAGAGACCAAGGCCAGACTCAATTTTTCCTCCTTATTTATACACAGTTGAACAAAGGATTCTTCACTTATATTTAAATCCAAAGTATACTTTTGGGCTGACCATTCCTAAATTATTTTTGCTGGTATACAGTATGCCCTTCTAATGTGGATGGCAAAATCTTGTATTGGGACTTCACTGAATTAGAGCTTTAAATATTTGTTTATTCCATTGTTCTACTTTTCTTATTTGGAAACTCCACTTATGCCACTGCAGTGGCTTCTGCACCTTCTCGGTCAATCATTTTTCTCTTCTAACCCTTCCAATAAGCTCCTATATTTTCATCCATATATATCATGTGCTTTGTTTTCATTTTTATTTTCTCTGAATCTTATGTGCTATCCACACAATTCACCCTCATTTGACCTTCTTCCAATTTTATTTTTGTGTGATTATTTTCCTCCAAATTTTTTCCGAAGTTTTATTAGCTCATGATTGAAAACACTTCCACATTATCCTACCATTTCTTCCACTTCTTGAAATTCTGTTTAGAGTTGTGTTTCCTTGAATGCAATTCACTTATATCTTCCCTTTTTAGCTTATGGTAAATTTTTTAATCACACTTATAATGTACTACCTAGCAATATTTTCCAGTGAGTTCTCTTATATGCTCATTAATTTTGCTTATCTGTTCTACACGTCTGTATTTTTAAATGTGTTTTCTTGACAATTCTTAAGAGACTGCATCCTAGGCTAGAATTCTTTATTAATTACTCCTCTTAGTCAATTTCTTTTCCTTAACCAAAGTTAAATGAGCAATCCTCATATCAGAATATTAAAAATACACGTTTCTCACTCTCAGTTTTCCACCAACTCACACACTTGGAATTCCTCATATTTTTATAACTTTTTTTGTAATCATGGCTTTGTTGAACTCTTCCCTGTATCATTATCTCTATTTTCTCATACTTGATTACTGATTTGGTACCAAAATCAACACAGAATCTACTCTTCTTGACTATTTACTATGTTAAGAGCTGATTTATCTAGATTTATATGCAGTTTTCATCAGTGTTCTCAGAAAGCTCTGGTAAATTTAAACATCAAATAGAACTGGCAACACTGACGCTCTGGGAAGGGCCTCCAATACTTGATAGCATTCATTTTTATATATAAAATGGATTTTTAAAAGATAACAGGCACCAGACAACAATAGTATGAAAAAACACTCATTGTATCAGCAGGTGATCTTTTCAAGTATCTAAATTCTAGACTTTGGCATAAAAAGATATTCTAGGATCGTCAAATCACAAAAATCAATCAATCAAGCCTCAATGTTAGAAAGAAATACAAACAAATAAAACACTGACTTAGCATGTAAGCAAAAGAACAGCTCTCAAGGAGACCTCAATGTACAGGGCATTTCTTGCATCAAAAAAAGTTTCACTGACATCATATCCATATCTTTACTTTATTTTATGAAGTATTTTATTACATCCTTAAAACAAACAATATTTTCTTTTTAGTAAGCAAATAGGAATACACTATATTCCTTTCACCTTTCATTGTGATTTTGTTCTATAATCTATTACTAATAAACATTCTTTCCAAAAATGTTTTTACAACTTTGATCACAGGAAGCTATTATTTTCTACTATGATATTATTCCAGTCAAATTTTATGTTACATTAGCTATAAAACTAGTAAAAATACAATTTCAATAAATATTTCTGCAATTCACTATGAAAAGCATCAACTTACTTGTGACCTAAATGCTTCAGAAAGTATCCCAGAACCTTCAGAGCTTGAACCCAAATACTTTCACTTTTAGAAGCCAATAATTTGTAGATTACCCTAAAAAATATAGAAATGAATGATCTTTTAAGTACTTACAATTATTAAAAATATAAACACTGTATACTTTACAAATAAATTATAAATATACAAGCATATATGGTCAATTAATATATGATAAAGGAGCCATGGATATACAATGGGGAAATGACAGCCTCTTCAACAGCTAGTGTTGGCAAAACTGGACAGCTCCATGTAAGAGAGTGAAACTAGATTACTGTCTAACTCCATACTCAAAAGTAGACTGGAAATGGATCAAAGACCTGAATGTAAGTCATGAAAACATAAAACTCTTAGAAGAAAACATAGGCAAAATCTCTTGAATATAAACATCAACAACTTTTTCCTGAATATATCTCCTCAGGCAAGGGAAACAAAATAAAAAATGAACAAATAGGACTACATCATGCTAAAAATCTTCTGTACAGCAAAGGACACCATTAGCAGAACAAAAAGGCATCCTACAGTATGGGAGAATATATTTGTAAATGACAGATCCGACAAGGGGTTAACATCCAAAATATACAAAGAACTCACAAGCCTCAACACCCAAAAAGCAAATGACCCAATTAAAAAATGGGCAGAGGATATGAATGGACACTTCTCCAAAGAAGAACTTCAGATGGTCAACAGGCACATGAAAAGATGCTCCACATTATTAATCATCATGGAAATGCAAATAAAAACAATGAGGTATCACCTCACACCAGTTAGGATGGCCAGTATGGAAAAGACTAAGAACAACAAATGCTGGCAAGGATGCGGAGAAAGGGGAGCCCTCCTACACTGCTGGCGGGAATGTAAACTAGTTCAACCACTGTGGAAAGCAGTATGGAGTTTCCTCAAAAGACTAAAAATAGAAATACCATTTGACCTGGGAACTTCACTCTTAGGAATAGACCCGAAGAAAACAACTTCTCAGATTCAAAAAGACAGATGCACCCCTATGTTTATCGCAGCACTATTTACAATAGCCAAGATATGGAAGCAACCTAAGTGTCCATCCGTAGATGAATGGATAAAGAAGAGGTGGTACATACACACAATGGAATACTATTCAGCCATAAGAAAGAAACAAATCCTACCATTTGCAACATGGATGGAGCTAGAGGGTATTATGCTCAGTCAAATAAGTCAGGCAGAGAAAGACAAATAGCAAATGATTTCCCGCATTTGTGGAGTATAACAATGAAGCAAAACTGAAGGAACAAAATAGCAGCAGAATCACAGACTCCAAGAAGGGACTGGTGGTTACCAAAGGGGAGGGGTGGGAGGGCGGGTGGGGAGGGAGGGAGAAGGGGATTGCGGGGTATCATGATTGGTGCACATGGTGTGTGTGGGGTCACGGGGAAAACAGTGTAGCTCAGAGAAGACAGAGACTCTGTGGCATCTCACTACCCTGATGGATGGTGACTGCAGTGGGGTATGGGGGGGACTTCATAATAAGGGTGAAGGTAATAACCTCATTGTTTTTCTTGTGAAACCTTCCTAAGAGTGTATATCAATGATACCTTAATAGAAATAAAAACAATTATTAAAAAATTATAAATATATAAAGTACTCAGGATTCGTTGGAAATCTTAGGAGAAGTTTTAAATCAGCACATTTCATTAATTTTTTTTACACTTAGCCTTCAAACATATTCTGAAAAATACAGTGTGTTCACGTCTTGTATATTCTCCACTTGTTCAGCAGTACTGCCTCCCACACACTGAACAAATGCACTCAAGACACCCACTTAGTTAAGCTACATTTCCTCTTCTATTAGAATCGCCCCTGACATTTGTACTCGATGAACTTTTTTTTCTGGTCATGGCTAATTGGGCCACGGGTAGATACCATCCAATCACTTCTCTTTTCTGATGAACTGGAATGAGATCTGGGAAACAACACCTAGTCTTTGTTGGGCTCTTACTAGGAAATTATTTGAAGTATATAGGCCAGCTTGTTTCACTCATAGGCCTGCGTCAGTGCACGAAAGGAAGACCGAGGCTCCGCACAGGCGAAGAGGGGAGAGCAGACTCACTCCTGACAGCTTTCTGACGACTGGCTGCTACCCTCATGACATTTATGTAACAATCACATTATTCTGTTTTTTTTTTACTTAAAATGAACGTTTACTTGAGACATTTTCTGTTACTTGGAGCAAAAAGTCTTTCTTAACATATAACCTAACCTGACCTAACCTATACTGTCGCCTGAAATACTCCATAAGAGCAGGGTCATTGTCACTGTAATATTTATAGGTATTTTCAGACATTTTATCTCACTTTTTTCCAAATATAAAAGTAAATATTTTTCTATTAAATAGAAAGGGGAATTAATGACTACATTCTTTTGCAACTGATTCTAGAATTGAAGAAGTTTCTTTGAGGTGGCAGTGATAACTATAAAACTAGGATGTGCTTTATTTTACTAAGTATCTTTTTACTATTAAAATATTTTGTATTTTGAAGGTGCAGCAATCTAGGCTAACTAAAAAAAGCTGGTAATAGATGATGCGGCACACTTTTCACATCATTTCAGGTAACAATAATAAAAAGGAAAAAAAATAGTGACGTCTATTTTATGTTTTACAGTGGCTTATACCATTAAAAACGAAAACAGTCCATGGTTGATATTGCTTCTTTTTTGCATTACTTGACTGAAGAACAGACTACAAGGAGAGGTAAACTCTAGAGTAATGATTTCCCACGGAAGACGGTTTTCTTCAAAAGCGTCAAGTTTCTAAATGAATATGTATTTATCCTGAAATCTATTTTCAGACCTTTTAAGGACCAAGATCAGTAATGAAAAATGACAAGTATGAGAAGGAAAGTTATACATGTCACAAAAGAAATATTCAGGAAGTCATAAAAAAAGAACATTCGACAGCAAAAATAATCTTGAGAACCACAGTAAAAGCTACAGCCTCCGAAGGTGACTATGCTCTGAGATGGAGCCAGAAACTCCCACACATTCCTGTTGTCTAAGAATAACTCTAAATTGGAGGAAAAAAAGGTGTAAGATTCATCCTGGATCAACGGAAATCATGATTCACATTTGAAACACGAAAATATCTATGGCCATCACACATTTATACCACACGGCGTTTTCTTCACAACTAGGCAAGTGTTTCTTACAAAACAAGATACAGACACAGGATTGCAATACAGTATGACTAAGAAATTTACTGACAAATCAGTTAATGAATGTTTACTTATAATATAATAATATAGGTGAATCCTAACTCATCCGCTCAAGCATAACGTATTTCAGCCAGAAAATATCTGAACTATTTGAAGCAACTAGTTATCTATTCTTCAAAGATTTTCAGTTATAAATGTCACATGTTTAGCTGTTCAGTTCACTGTTGTATTATCACAAGGTCTTTCTTAAGTCCATTTAAAACATCACCAGAATTAAATTAAGTTCATTGTTTATGTTCATTTCTTAGTATGTGTGAATGACAATTAACAGGAATTTTCCCCAGAAAATATTTCATATATAACTGTTACCTTTTAATATCTTTTTCCTAGGATATAGACTTTTAAGTATTCTATCTAATAAACCTATTTTTTCCATCTTTTAAACAAGGTCTTAAATTCTCCACATTTTTTTAAGTGAAAATACTGAAGTAGCAAAATTTTCTATCTTCATGTTTGTTTTGAAAATACTGGTAACACTGTGCCGTGTCAAGCTGGCGTCAACAGGGGCGACCAGGACCGTGTCTTCGCTTCACCATACCTGACCAGACTCTTCATACTACACATTTAAAATGCTATTTCAGTCCCCTAAAGAGCTTACATTAGCACTCTCCTTTGTCAGACCCGATTTCCAGTGTGTCAAAAAATGCAGAATTCTATTTCTGTATTGTATTTTATCAACCAATCTAAGGTTAGTATCATCCACATGGGAGATGAGGCTACTTTCAATGGAATCAATGTATCAGTTAATATAATAAATAAAGCAGGATCTAAGGCTAAGGATACTAACTGTTCAACCTAAATATAAGAAGAATAAGTGTAACTGTATTATATAATTAGATGGAACCGCATAAAATTGTCATTACTTGGTAAAATCAGTTAAGTATCAGCAGTTTCATATAGTTCAACTTCATAGTATAAAATACCATGATCCTTCTAAGGATGGTAAACTCAAAGGTAGTAGTGATGTAATAATTGGCTATCCGTTTAGAAATAAAGTGACTGCCTTTCTGATTTGAAAGGAATCCTTCGAGGCTAGAAAGTTTTATTCGTGGATATATATGGCCAAGTAAAAGAAGCACTGAGAAAACTGCTGACAGTTATTGATAAACTATTTCCAAAGTCTTGTTATGCTCTGTGGAACTGCACGAGGTATAACGCGGGCTTCTTCCTCAGCCCAGTAACACACTCCGCAAAAACAAAGTGGGAGAATCCCCAGGGGGCTAGGTTCAAATTCATTAGAACACAAATCAAGAAAGCACGTTTCCCTTATCTGCATAATCACGACAACATAACTAAAGTTAGTCTTCAAATTCTTTTGGTTTTATCCCCGTTCCAAACTTTCATCTATTTTTCCCACCGCATGTCCACTTCCCTAGCTCATCATCCCTGACATTCATGCATCAAATCACCTCTCTACTGATCTCGCTAGGTCCGTTTTGTGTTTCTCCGATTCATTTCCACACTGCTGACTGGCAAATCTAACAAAATGGAATTCGGAGCGAATCAGTTCCCCATTCAAAGTTCTTTATTTCACCCACAGAATAAAATCTACATTGTTTGCCACTGTACAGACATCTGAATCCAGATGCCATCTAGCTCTTGAGCCTAAACTCACATAACTTTCCGGTGCTTTGTTTTGTTGAGATATACCACGCTCTCTCTCTTCTTGAAAAAAAAACTTTGCTCTTCCCACTGTTTACTATAGCAACAACAATTCAACTACTCTTCTTGAGATGTGAGACTTGCATTTATACACTTCACCAGTTTCCTTGAGAATTAGTAGCAACTTTCTCCATTTATTCCCTTCATAGGTGTACAATTTCTCTCTATTTACTCAAAAGTTCATAGAACAGAGGTTATTCTAGGAAGCACAAACTGTACTCAAAATCCATTAATAAATATTATGATCATACCTTATTCCATTTCTTTGATCAAATGCTGGTATCATGGAGGCTGGGTGTTCTGACATTAAAGCCACTAGTAACTGTAACACATCATGAATATTTTCATCCTGCATAATAAGGATCATTAGTAAAAATTGTATCCTAATGCTTTGAAGAAAATATTTAAAATAGAAACGCAGACCATGTCCTACCTCATGCATTGTAAGCAGGTAATTTAATATACTCTGAAGTTCATCTTCTTTGACCCCTCGATCCTAATTAAAAAAAAAAAGTATTACTGAACTTAAATCTAAAATTTAGACTTAACACAGGCATCAAAATGATTATTTTAAAAGGAAGTAAGAATTTAAAAGTAGTGATGTTTTAATGAAAATATCTAGATGCTTCATAATTCATAGACTTATTTCAAGTTAAAGAAATAAATATTTAGAAAATACTATCTATAAAATTGCTAATGATTCATCTTCACTATCAAAAGTTAGTATATTTTGAGCATCTAACTATTCATATTACTATCTCTCTAACCATTTATGTTCTTCAAGCAAACAACCACAAAATTTTATAATATCAATTGTGTATTTTGCCTTTATTTCCAATTTTTATTTATCTTTAAAAAATCCTATTGTGATAAAATACATAACTCACACCTTCTCAAACAGGAAAAGAGACCATTTTCTGGAATAAACATGCATATATCTCTTGTCCATTTTTGCTATATCCCTTAGTATGAGGATTCAAACAGTATTTAACAAAAAGTGAAGTTCACTAAGTTAATATTTAGATTTTTCAGAAATTTGAAAGCAGTTCATGAATTAAAGGTAGTTATAGCTAATTTTAAAATAATGATTTTTAAATCATGCCAAAATTCCTTTCCATCTAATATGCAATTCTGAATTAAATAAAATTATTTTACCTTTAGTATGAGCTGTTTCAGAAAAAGTAGCATAAATGCCCGTAGTGATATGATTTCTTTTTGTGATGGCCGGGGACCATCTAAAATAAAATGGAAAACAAACAACAAAAAAACAGGAAAAAACCTCATGATACCAAATAAGCTTCATGCAATTATGCTGGGATACCATGGAATTCTTTAACAGTCATATTTATTATAGATACATTTATTAGTATTAATGATGTATAATTTCAGTTATATACCCCATTAAAACTGGTTCCCCTCATTCTAAAACTGTGCCTAACTCTATCCCTAATCCTAACTCTTATTCTATCGCAGACATCAACCCTCACCCACGTCACTTTAACCCTAACCCTAGCGTGCACACACACACACACCACACACACACACACACACACACACACACACACACACACAAACCCCCCCCACACACCCCCCACACACACTTTATTTCCTGGATCCACTAAGATAGTCCAGAAATACTGACACCCAAAGAGCAACAAGCACAGTAAGCACCCCTCACACCCAGATCTTAGTTTCCAAAAGCCAAACCCACAACACACACTGTGGCTCCTGGTACAAACGGCTGGCTCCAGGACTGAATAAGGAAAGCATAACATGAACAAAGAACATCTCGTGCCAGAAAGCACTAAAATATTATGGATATTTGTCATAAAGACTCAAAAACTCAGTGAAGGGCTCCTACTGGCCAAATATAGGACAACTTGAACATCAAAATAAATAATGATACAACTCAGGGGACAGCCCTTCGACTAAACTCATCAAGCCTGTTTTACTGGAAAAAAAGTACACCCATTCATTTATATCCTGTCTATGGTTGTTTTTACAATACAGATAACTTTTAGCTCCCTAAGCCTAACATATTTACTGTCTGGCAGTATAAAATATGTCAACTATTGATATAACCGTGAATAAAACTGGAATCTATGAAACATATACTGACATTTTTTTAAATGAACAAATTAATTAATTAATTAATAGAGGAGAAATAAAAGTTCTTCCTTTCAGTAGAATTCAAACTAATAAATGTATTATAAAATATCACCATTTGGCAGCAATCATACTAAAGATCAATTCTTGGAAGAGTTATCAACGAACTCACCCAGAGGTGAAAAAGTCTGTTGAAGAACAGAATATTTCCAAAACCTCACTGTATTTCTCCACCAAGTAGTTACTATTACAAAGGAGCAAGTAGTAATTTTGCAATGAAGAATACCGATCACAGTTAACGTCACTAATAGTAAGAACTCCGTATCGTGCCTCTTGACATGTTACAATGAGACATAGTCAGTATGACTTCTGTGTGATTTGCTCTACAAAATCCTAAACCATCCTGAGCAAATATCAAACAAATCTAAATTAAAGGGTATTCTTAAAAGTAAGCTGCCTATATTATTCAAAAATATAAAGACCATGGAAGACAAGGAAATACTGAAAGAACTATTCTCCACTGAAGGATATTACAGTGGCAAGGCAGCCCAGTGCAATATATATATACAATCCTTGACAGATTCATACTACTGGTGAGACTGCAAACTGGTACAGTAGTTCTGAAAAAATTGACAGTATTTGCCCTGAGACCCTTTATCTGAGCAATTCCAAACAAATCAAAGATTGAGGTATATTATTATATACAAAGGAATAAATATATTATTTATAGACTCAAAACTTCAGAAACATGTAAATGGTATATTCTCTTACATTACTATATAGAACAAAGAAAAAACCAAGAATATTTCAAATTTTTAGAAATCATTTAAATATTTCACAAATTTATGCTATGAGAAATAGTGGAATAAAACAAACCAAACTTGTTAACAGTTACAATTCCTGGGGCTTGCATTATGAATAACTTTTTTATTCTTCATCAGTTCATTTTCTATGCTGAGTATGTACTTTTATATAATTAAGGAAACGGGCACTATTTTTAAAATACAATGTAGTGAAGAATTAAATTAGTTTTAATACACTTAGAAGAAAGGGTGAAGTTTAGGGCAAAAAATACAAAGAAAGGCAACCATCTAAAAGTATTGAAACAACTGTAGTGGACTACAGCGGCCCTGACCAGTAACATTCACCCTTTTAGTATTATAAATTTATCTTCCTGAATCACAGTAAGTTTTCAGGCCAAAGGGAGGATATTATTTATTATTACATGGCTTTACTCCAAAAATAATTTAATGCTGAAAGGCTATATAAACTTCTGTACTAAAGAAAACTCAATACATAAGTCTACTACATAGGAAAGACAATAGTTCAGTGATAAGTTCATAGTCACGCGCATCTGGAAGTTACGATAATACGCAGAGCACAGAACAATCAGTACAAGCAACACAGTAGCACGTTGTACTCACCTAACCCTTTAGGTGCAATGCCGCTACTGTCGGCAGGATCAATGACCCAGTAGTAATATTTTAACGTGTGCATGAGCTGCAGTACTGTCCCTACTCTGCGTATGGTGGTGTAAATGGTAGCAGTTCCAATAAACTCGGCAGACAAATAAGTGTATAGGGAAAGCTGGACCTAAGACAGAATATTACCAGAGCATTAAGGTAAATTAAAAATTCCTCAAGTGCTTCTATTACAAATATGCATTATGTTCAAATTTAAATGTAAATGAGTAAGGGCCAAGAAAGGACCCTTTATTATGATGTTAAAATAACTATTGGTAAATATTTTTATATTCTAAAGGGAAAATAATCTGTAATCAACATATTCTAACAAAACTTATTTTAATAAAGATAATCTAACAGTTATTAACAATGAAATGATTTTAAATGATGCATCAATTCTACTGAACGTACCTGATAGGAAGATCAGATTATTTAAAAAGTCAATTAGACTAAAGCCCTTACTTAAAGCATATTTCAGCAGCTCAGGGAACAAAACTAACATCAATCTGCTATCTTACAAGTTCGTGAAATTTTCAGTTTTCTTAACCCATAGCCACAGTACCAGAATCTAAGCATGTAAGTAGAGACATGAAAAGCCATACACCTTGCTTAAAGAGCGAACTTTTAAAGTTTTAGTTTAGCACACAATGAACATGATAAATCATAATACACATTAGTACTTAAAACAGTATTTAACCAAAGTTATGTGGGAGATTTGAAAATTGTAAAAGGCAGCTCAAATTTATGAAAAATGTCCTTCATTGTTGAATTCTACTACAATGTAATGGGGCTAAATTAAGGTAGGCAAAATAATAAAAATTTTATGTTGATAAATAGAAAAAAATCTCTTATATACATGTTTATTTTAAGATATATGATATAAACTCGACATTCCCAATACAAGAAGCAATTTCCCAGTCAAATGATGACAATTATCATGATACAATTATAATGTCACCTGTTATTTTCTTTTCCTATTCTTTTAATTATCAGTGTACCAAAGTCTCTTTCTTGGAAAGATATGAATTACATCTAATAACTTCACAATGAGTTACTACATCTATAATTTCATTTATTTTAACATTTGTAATATTTAGTATTTTTATTTCTGACACTGCATATTACAACTCCTTCTGACAGACTACCAAATAAGCTGAAATATCCAAATGACTTTTACTCGATAGTTGATATCTAATAACTGTAATTTTTAATACCACTCTAAAATAAAATGAGTGAGAAGAAAATGTGTACCTTTGCAGGCGTATGTATCCAGATGGCCGGGTTGAATAAAATGTGATCACAAAGCTGCTTTAATAAAGGGGCTCCATGAGATAAACCATCAAGGTGTTTTGCAAAGGATAAAAACTGCTCCAGGACAGCTCTCGTTATATGGGCTCTTGATGACTGAACAAAGAAAACAGAAATTCAAGCTGAAAATATCTAAATATAAAAATGAAAAATTGCTGACTTAGAATAAGTATAAATGAATTTTTATAAGCCACCCCTAATACTTTATATTTAAAATACAAACTTTGATATTTCCTTTGATATCCAAAATTTAATTATATTTCGAAACCTGAAATTTTAAGATAATTCTCTGAATGACAGTGTTTCCTGAAGCCTTTTCCAGGACAACTGCAGAGATAACTCAGGTTAAAAAATGTCTCTCTTAATTCAATCTAAAGAAATAAATTATGAATAAGAATGGTTTCATTCCATTCTTTATAGAAACTAACAAGTAGAGACTTTAGACAAAATTAAAATGGACTAAAATTAGTATCATAACACACACATATATAAGACAAAACAAAATACACTGGGAAAAAGAAGTGTTTTCACTAGCTCCAAGCCAAAGGGGAAATAAATTGGCCTTCCCATTCATTCCACTGAGTCCTTTCTTCAGAAGTCACAACTGAGTTTCGCACTGACAAACGCAAAGTATCTAGCTTAGGATAACTCTTCCAGTCCACCCGGAGTACTTGGAAAAGCAGATCCCACTGTCCTAGAAATAATGTCCCCCTTTGGCTTTCCTGATCCTTGGATTACTCCTTATTGTCGTTTGCTTAAAAAATAGGAACTGCTGAACACTATTAATTCGGCCTTCTATTCTCCGTAAACACACTCTCCCTGGAAGGTATTACATGCTCACACACTTCATATAACCCAATCGTTATGCTTAGTACTCCAAAAAAGAATTTTCAACTGCCATCACCAATACATAACCTATTATCAATTGTATTTAGATAAATGACAGACCTTCCAAAATTCAAACCCAGTCCTTGAAGCTGCACTGCCCAATACAGTAGCCACTGGCCACGTGGCTACTGAGCCCCTGAAATGTGGCCAGTCCTAAGTGACATGTGCTGTAAGTTTGTATACACTGGATTTATTTTGAAGATTTAAAATGAAAAAATAATACGAAATACCTATTATTTTAAAGTATATATTGAAGTGGTAATACTTTAGATATACTGTGCTACGTTAAATAAAATACATTATTAAAGTTAATTTTACCTGTAACTGTTTACAAGAAAAATTTTAAATACCATATGAGGCTCACTTTATATTTTAATTTGGCAGTGCTACCCTAGAATATAACTTCTGGTAAAAATATTATAACAGAAATGTGGCTCATAAAAGCTGATAATTCAAACTTAAATGTCAAAAAAAATCTCTTTCTACACAAATCTTTTCCTTCTCATCTAGTGATCCATTTTGTAGCACCAGCATCTTGCCTAGAGTAAAGAATCACCTGCCACTCAGCCCTAAGCTACAAGGCACACCGCACCTTTATCTCCACTACCCAGTGATAACAGCCTAAGTATCAGGACAGGATACTTACGGTCTAAAAGGACTAACCTGTCTCACCAATTTTACTTCCCACGTGACTCACCTACCTTCTCCACGCTCCTAACTAGGGTAGCTCCATACAACTGACCCGAGCATGCCATGCATTTCACAGTTCTACCTAAAGGGCCACAATCTCAAATGATTACAATATTCAAGTATTGAGTAACAATGGATGGATTAGGGTAGGAGACAATAAAGAGCAGGGGGACCGCTCAGCGAACCTGAAGGACATGAAATTCAAGCCTAACAAACCTCAGTCACTGAGCCCAAGTGTTTCTTTGGACCGGTTTCACCTACACAGCACCTGTTTGCCTCACCTGCTTTGTCTATCATGATCCCTCAACTTCTAATATCCTTTCGTCCATTTCTTTCACCTTAAAACTAGAGCTCAATACTTTTCATTTAGTTCATTCAGAAAATAAACATGGTGGGTTTGCCAGGCACTTTCCTTGGCACTGTTGAAAGGACACTTAACAAAACCTCTACCCTCACAGGATGAGGCAGGAATATACAATAAACAAAAAGGGAAAATAGGTAACATGTTAGATATTAATAAGTTCATGAAAAATATGGAGCATAGGAAATTCTGGGAAGGGTGGTTAAGAAAAAGTTTTACTGAGAAGGAAGCATTTCATTAGTTTAAGTATAAGGCTAGCAGTGATTTTGTATTACTAGGCTAGGGTATTTGACAAAACATAAATGGTGAATAGATAAGCAACAGCCTATAAGGTTCAAACCCAGTTTCACAGCATAACTTTAAATGGAAATTTTATAAGATGGAGGAAATAATTCTAACAAAGTTTATTAAATGGGGGAGAACAGTAGAACAAAAAATTGATTAAAAGAATAGTAAAGATTGGGCACAGATTTTAAAGGAGCTTTAATGAAAAAATACTTTCAATTTCTAAAATATTTTATTCATGGATAGGGGAATAAAATTAAAATAAGAGATGAACGGTTATTTAAAGCTTCAGCCAACTCCTTTAGTAGTTGTAATTTCACATAGCTCATCTTATACATTATATTTTTATTCAGTAATAATGATTTCAAGAACATTATCTGATATATTCTACCTTTATGATTGAAGTTCTGAAATAGAATAGTCAGATATAGTTAATAGATAAATATTCTGAGGTAATATTTTTATCCTATAAAAATTGTCATGTATTTACAAAGAACATGAAAGTGATACAAAATCAGATTGATCACTATGAACATATTCATTTGAGGAGGTAATTCATTACCTGAAAGTAGTTTTTAACTTGTTCCATGTTATACAAAGATATGCGAGAAGCATCCCATGAGGACTTCCACATCACTGAAAAGAGTTTGTTAGTTGTTTTTCACAGCGATCAATGCTGTTGGGCACTAGTTCTTAATTCTAAAATTTACCCTTAGGAAATATCTTTCTAAAATTGCATTTTTTATTGGCCCACTCAAAATACTACTAGGCACAAAATGCGTGTTCTCTTCAATAGCAATGTTACCTTCACCTGTAAGTAGTATACTACTATTAGTTATTCACATATTTTTCTTTGCCAATATAAAAAAGGAAGATATCATCTTATTCGCTTTTTTCTGTCTACTGTCCACCATATTCATCAGTGAGTTTTTAACAGAGTTCAAGTCAAATTCAGGAATAGAATAATAATAGAACAGATAAGACAAAAGACAGATTAGAACAAGATGAAAGAAGACATCCAATTCTGTTTTAATGTCTTTACTTTGATTGATTGGTTCAAATATTTTTTATTTTGATTTTTGTTTCCATTTTTCAACTAAAGCTATTTAAAAAAGAGATTTATACTTGGGTAATTTAGTTATAAATCTGTAACATTCAAGCTCTGGAACTTATATACTACATTGGTGTGGCTGAATACATAATTTGTAAGAAGTACTATATGAGATGTGACTGAACGCATTCGGAAGTAGAATCTGAGAAGCTAGAAAAGCAAATACAACTATGACATCCACTCCAAAAAAGTCAACTAAACAAAATAGGAGCGATGGATGTTACAGGGGAAACTGCTACTCCAGAAAAAGCGGTCTTTCTCACATTTACAGCAGCCCACAATGAAATGGATTGCCAGAAATGTTTATTTGTATTGCAGACACGGTCTATATACACAGAATGTGCATTATGTTACATAAATTGTGGGAAATTAATTAGTAGAGGTACATCATAAAGCAGTTAATCCTCAATATCAACTTTCCTCTCCCCAGAACACCAAGGCTGTGCTCCCAAGAGTGTAATTCTACATGAACCAGCGGTGTGTCGTCGTCGGGGGTGCGGGGGGAGGAGGGTGGGAAGGGGGCACAGAGACAATGATCAGTTCAGAGACCCAGAATCAAAATTTTCAGGGAAACAGCTGGTTCAGAGTAGACCAAGGCTTAAACTGATCCATCAATTGGAGGGAAGGATATTGCTCAATAACTGGAAGAAATGAGCTCTCTCCACCTCGTGTGAAGACTTACAGTACAATGTCCACCTGGCAGCCTTCTTATGACCACCAAAGACAGCAGCTACAGCATAAAATCATCACTGCAGATGGTAGCACAGAGATGCAGAAAACAACCTGCATCTCTGACAACATAAATGAGACTCATACCCAAGCCCGGAAGCCCAACTCGCTGCGTGAGTCTTGCTGGCTGTCCCGGCCACTCTCCAAGCTTCCCTCCCTATTTCTGCCAGGGAGGCTCCCTGTCTACTGGCTTCCAGTTGGAATTCAGTAGTTGGGAGACTCCAGCAGGAAATGAACAGGAAGACAATGAAATTGAGGTATTTATTTCCCCAGGTTTACCCCTGCAAGTTAATACAGCGTGCCCCTTTACTGCACACACACTCCAGTCAGGTACACTTTCCCATGGTGTGGCTACAGTGACTTTCTCTTTCAATCTCCTCTCACCTCTTCAAATCTTGCTGGTTTCCCTTAACAACGCTCACAACGTTTTAAAAAGCATTGCATTAAACTCTTCTCAGTAACCAAGTCTGAGTATGGCATCATTTCCTGCCATGAGTAGGCCTGATAAGCCACTTAGCACTGGACTTCCAGTTACATTAACAAGCTTATTTCTTTAATAGGAAAGCCACTTTGAATCAATTTTTTTATTAACCATAACCAAAAATACTGAATTCTTCAGATAAACTGTTCAGTTTTTTCAGTCATATTTTGGGAAGATAAAGTGCAACAAAATACCTTAATAGTTTTCCATGAAACAGTCTAAATGTGATGAATAAGAAGGCCTCTCATTAGACTGCCTTCCTTGATAACGCACACCTTCTGAGGTGAAGAGCTAAAGCGACGTGACAGTTAACCATTAACTTGCTGTTCCTTGATAATAAATTTAAAATGGCACCTTATTATCTATATTACTCACCCAGCAGTGGATTGTTTAAAATGAAAAGTGTGAACATTCATCTGAGAATGCTGAGAAAGGTGTTCTCTTTGGGGAATCCAACAAGCATCGAGTGCTTTTCATTCATTCAATTCAATTCAACAAATATTTATTAAGGCAGGCATTCTTTGTTAAGCTGTAATAGTGGGCACCAGTAT